CCACCAGGAGACGTGCGCGTAGCGCCCAATGTCTTTGACCTCTAATCGATCCATGGGTCATAGTGTTCTAGCCATGCCATACCAAGCACGAAGTCATACCTTGAATCCAAGTCTAAACCTAAGCAGTGTTCCACGCTATGATAGTTAAGAAACGTGACACCGAGGTCCACAGGAACCTTCGGCACCGTGACACATGTCTCCGTCGCTTAGCGAACAGTGATGGTGTCACATAACCGCGTCTTCAGTGCCTTATCATGCAGCTGGCTTCCTTTCATCGTGGAGCGTCGAGCATAATTATCCAACGCCCCGGAGTCTATCAGGTTCTTTCAGGCCTTCTCAAAACCCTTCATGGTCGCTTCCACGACCAGCAAGCTCAGCTTGCATACACGCTCCGTACGGAGCTCTTCGGGGCTGGGCCCTGCTGACCACTACCTCCTTGAGGCTCAACCGAACTCAGTTCTTTTCCAGAAGGCCGCCGGGTGTTGTCGTTTCCGTTTGGAGGGGACAACCAGTTCGAAGGTGACCGGAGTCCCCACAGACAAAAAACGTTGGGTGTTCGAACGCTGCTCGGCAGCTCTGAGCAATGTCTTCTCTTTCTCAGCATAGCTGAGATCCAAAGGCTCAGGCCCGCTCGACGAGCTGCTAGAGTGTGCATTCCAACCAAGTCGTGCCGACTTGGAGATTTGACATTCAATGCCAAACTCACTACACCATTGTGTGATCACACCATCTTGTGTGACCCACACCCTTCAAATCGGCCCGTTACAATATATGCTCAAGCCATGAAAAGCGACAAATCAATCAAGTGGCGAGAAGCTATCGGTGCTAATTTTTGCTCCCATGTTCAGAGCTAAGCATGGATATTAAAGTCAACAAAGAAGAACAATCGCACAATTAAAATCACGATGGGTCTTTTCCTACAGACTAGATCAAAAAGGCACTGTTTTGCGGTACGAGGCACGACTTGTCGCGAGGGGTCTCAAGCTAAAACATGGAGCTAATCTCTTTGAGATATACTTCTGATCGTCAACATTACTTCAATTCGAATCAAATTGGCAGTGCGTGCCGAATGCGACTACTAATTGGAACAACTCGCTGTCTATACTGCTTTTCCCATAGTGTGTTGATAGTCAACGATCACAGGAAAATTCCGCTGGGTATTGACAAGCCTCGAGATACATGTGCCAACTGAATTAGGCTATCTATGTGCTAAAACACGCAACATGTGCCTGGAGCAATACTCTTTGCGAGTAATGGCCGTAAACGTTGCGGAGGGGACCAAAGCGTCTATGCCAAGCGATTCCTGGAAGGCTTTGTTAGTGTTGGACTCTTTGTTGATGACATGACTGGTCCAGCAAGAAATTTGGGAAAGCAATGAAGTGAAATAAGCTAAAAAAATGCATTTAAGATGAAGAAGTTGGTCAAGGCGGAGATCATCCGCGAGAATATGCAAAAAAACTTTGAAGATGGACTATCGACACGTAGAGTTAGCTTGCAGATACGCTGACAGGGGTACTCTAAACAGACATGCTTGTGTATATACGAGAGGCGGCGGGTATCAAGACGGATATAATACAAAAGATCAACAAGCATTAATTAAGAGTAAGAGGGAGAGATCACGCCGCTCAATATTGCTGAAGAACAATGTTGCGGGCATATGCCTAATTTAATGGTAAAAGTATCACATTTTGCTCTTACAGAAACGATCCACTTTCATGATCTACGATTGAATTTCACGGTGAATAGGCTTTGCGGTGGAAGTTCCTAGCCGGTACCTACGTCCCTTCATTCTTTTATGGTTTACTTACCAGACCGTATATTATTACGTAAAAGAAATGTGGTTAGATATGACGATATAGGGCTAGAGACCATGGGATTTTATTTAACTTTTCAATTTAGATTTCACCACAAAGTCAACTATAAGCGAGTCAGTGGCATAAATTCATTGGAGATCGGGATAGTATTGGCCTTTATGGACTTTCGTCGTTTAACAGAGTCAAAGAAGACTGATTCTGCACGGAGAATACAATGCATTTGTAAGAAAGTAAAACAATTGCATGTGTAGGCTGAAAAATATCATATCGCAAGGTTCAGATCCGTACTTTAGTTGAGATTACCATTAATTGAGTAAGATTAACAACTTTTCGGTGAGTCCTGATGTAGTTTGCATGGAATGACTTGCTTAAGAAGCGGAGGTGAAGAAGACCTTCGCTCGCAAAAAATCTCTCTTTTATCAATTTATCATGTAATTCACCACAGACAGAAGTGCTACATGCGGTGGAGTTCCGGTAAAGCTGTCAGCTTTGAAAAAGCGTTAATTTGTAGCGCAACAAAAAATTGATAAAGCGCAGTCGCCTTTGCTAGCTGCAAGAAGCTAGTGCATCGGAAACTGTCATGGGTACGTTTTTGTGGTGAGAGGTTGATACGCTTCAAATCTTTCAAACTTATTGTCAGAATGTGTATTACTGGACTTCTTATGAGGGGCTTGAATGGCACTGATGCACAAGATACCCATCTAACTACATAAAAACAAATCGTGAGTATGGTACAAGTGTGAGTTTCAAAAGCCTATCCACACACCATTTCAAAAATGCGCGCTGGAAGCTACGCAACGCAAAGTTGATTTTAATGCTCGGTGTATTGCCGTTGGAGGCTATTACCACGTATATGGTAGAAATTGCGTGTTTACTCAAGTGCTTTGGTTAGCTTACCGGTTCAGACAGAGTATTGGCAGTCCACCAGTATAGATTTTTTTCGCTCGTACAAAAGACGCGTCCAGTAATATCGGGATTGTGGACCGTCTGAGTATAATAATTCTTCTCGCTGCTATCAGCAAAATGAGATCATTGAATGCTGTTCCTCGACAAAGTGTTTCATTAACAAGGCGTTCCGGTAGCCATTGTATCGGATACAGATCTGCGCTTTACAGCAAAGTTCTGGCAAGCATTGTTCAGGGCTCTCCGCCTACCATTCGTAGACAGATGATCAGCTGGAAACCATGAGATGGTATAAAACCTCTTCACTCTTTCACGGAGAGATCACGGTACTGAAGTGAGTTGCTCGCGCTGATTGAGTTTGCCCTGAATAACACAGCACGTATCTCTACATACTACTATGAAATCACTCGGAAAACGCCTGATTTCTTTAATGCCACGAAGTGGCTTCGTTCCCGATGCGGGGCTGTATATTCGATCCGACTTGCTGGAATTAGCTGGTCGTGACAAATTCGCACATTTAATCGTGATGACACTAAGCGTATTATCCTGATTGAAAGTCAGGATGGTCAGAAGCAATATGCGGCTGCCAGAGGCAGGATATACAATGCAGAGTATTTAATGTGTGCAGTTTAATTACTTACGAATGCAGTGTCTGCGGTTTAAAGGACCTAGTTGTGACCGCGTTACTCTGTATCGTTCCAATCGTAGCGAGTTATTCTTGGCAATATCCCTGTCCCAACGCACGGACTTCAAAATCGTATTTGGCGCATTCATTGCTGTCTACTTTTTATCGCGGTCGCGCGTCGCAGTGATTGCACGACGTTTTTAAAACAATCTTTTAAACTTATCTCGGCCTACAAATATTGATACAAGTAACCGACTTTCCGGGGTTGTGAGCCCGTCTCTTTTGGATATATCCGCTCCTTTTATGGCTGATTTTTACTGACCACGACCTCCTAAAGGTAAAATATAACACAGTTCATTTCCAATTTGTTGCCCAAAACTCGACGCTTCCCCGCGAAAACTTCGTCGATCGATCTGCAACCCTTTGAGCACTTTCAGCCGAAAGGAAAGCTCCTTGCAAGGTATGATCGATTCAAACTGCCAGTGTTGAAGCATCTGTGAGTAGTTTGGAATTTGGGAAATCTAACATTTTCATTTAAGCATGGCTGAGGTATCCGCATGAAGGGCTTCTACTTCTAGTACCTCATACGGTCCTTGCGACTCGAAAGCTGTACTTCAACTATGATGCGACGCCTTAATTCTACAGAAGAGGTATTTTGGACGCGGTAGGCATTGATGTGCGTCATATACGTTGGAGAACGTGTAGAATAATCTAAAGCGTTTGTGCCTTTGGAAGAGATGTGACGCTAACGCCACCCATTCTGCTCATTCTCATCTTCCTCGAAGGGCAAACAAAAACTTCTATCGTACCACATACGCCTGGTTATGTGATGCGAGCACCCACGACATATATCTCCTCAAAGTGTTCACGTTCGGATTCACTTCTACAGGGATTTTACACGCGAGTGCCTATTATCAGCACAACCACCGAGCTTTGGGACGCCAGCGCTTGAAGCTGATGCACCGTTTAAAGTATGGCCAAGTTCATAGTAATCTCAACTTATACGAACAGCGTGGATTTTTTTTCCGTCTCAGATCTCAAGGATCTGGACAACGCCTCTAGGAGGGCGCGGCGCCATCATATCTTTCACCGACGCCCGATTGAAACGCTTCTGGACGGCTCGCACCAGTGCATCATAATAATTGGTGAATGCGTCCAGGGGTTCAATAACCGCATCCAGCGCTTTAACAGCTATTTTCGTGATTCCGTCCACTTTAACGGCAGACATAGCTTACAAAGCGTGTCTAGCTGTCCCGAGAAAAGGTCCACGAACCTTTAATGTTCCATCTATACAAAAGCACAGCCTTTCACGAATCGTTCGTGAGATTTATAACAGTTAGTGTGCACTTTGCAGAGATTTATATTTATTTTTATGGAGAATAAAAAAATGTCCCAACTTTTCAAAAAATATAAAAAG